GGGCGCAGCTCACGGGTCTTTCTGAGCCCACTTCCAAGAGCCGGGGGGCAGCGAGGCGCGGGGCGTCCGGAGACAGGGCTGGGGGTCAAAGAACAAAACTTGGACTTCGGTGTTGAGCCCTCAATAGGTACTAAGCGTTGTACACGCACTATCGTATCAATTCATCCTCAAGGCACAAACAGGAAAACAACTTCCAGCTGGTGAGTGTTGAAGTAAGGATTAGAATTCAGATTGCTCTGCCTCCAAACTTGTGAAACGCCAGCTCGACCCCATTTGGTCCCCTTGTCCTCCCCACACCCACTCACCGAAGGTGCGGAGCTCTCTGGGGGCCGAGATGTTTTCAAACAGCCCCAGGCCGTGCGGCCGCAGGTCCAGCTCGGCGCGGCACGAGAAATTGGCCCCATGGTCCTCCCTCCGCGCCAGCACCGTGGCCGTGAGCACCGCGCCCCGCGCTCGGGGTGGCTCCCCGGCGAAGCTGCGGCGGATCAGCTCCTGGGCGCCCCGCAGCAGCGTCAATGTGAGGCTCGCGCGAGGCCCGGCGCCTGGGACCCGACAGCTCAGGGTGAAGTTCTCGCCCACAGGCTGCCAGGCAGGCAGCGGCACCAGCTCTACGCGATCCGGCCGCTCTGCAAGGGGGGAACCACCGCTCTTGGAAACGCCGAGGCTCAGCTGGACGCCGCGGGGAACCCCAGGGCCGGGAGGGGAGGGCATGGGGATCCAGAAGGTGGGGCCTGAAGGGGAGGACCCAGTGACCCAGGGGGCGGGGCCTGGAGAGGAGGGAACGTCGTGGAGTAGGAGCGTGGCCGCTGTGAACTCACGAAAAGTGCGAATGAGCCCACGCGCCTGCAGCGTGCGCCGCGCGCAGCGGAAGAAGCAAACGGGCTGAGTCTCCGGCTCGCGGATGTCCACCAGCTGCCGCGCCAGCCACCGCAAACCCCTCTGGGTCCCATTCCGGCGCAGAGAGGTCTCCAAGCCACCGCGCTCGGGCCGTGGGCAGTTGGTGCTGCAGTTCAGCCACAGCGATCCCCCGCGCTCCACGAGCGCCACGCGGGGCTGCAGGTCCGCCCAGAAGGGCTCCTGCGCGACCGCTGCCCGGGGAAACGCGGGCTCAGCCTGGGGAGCCACCTCCCTGGCATCTTAGCGCCCCTATGCCGAGCCAGGGATTTCCGGGGAATGATCAGAGGTCGCAAGCAGGGAAGGACTCAGGAGTCCCGCGTCCTGCCCAGGCCTCAGGTTTGGAGGCGCGCTCCCAGGATCCAAACCTCGAGGGTGTCCCTGGGACATGGCAGCCCTGTCCCATGGAGAGCCCTGGTCTCCAAGGTGCCCATGGAGTGATGGGAAAGCATGGGGGGAGGGGGAGATGAGAGGAAAAATGGGGTCTTGGACGCACACAGCCACGCTGGGAGGAGGGGACCCCGGGTGGGGGAAGTGGAACGAACGGGTTCTCAGGTTCTCGCAGGGAGAGGAGGAGACTGAGGTTGAGGCGAGGGCAAAGGAGAGATGAGGCTGAGTGAAAGATAAGTGAGGACCCCAAACCCGGGTGAAGAACACGGAAAGAGGACGCGGGGCTGGGCTCCTGGAAGGAACCGCGGGAACAGCCAAGGGACTCGGTTGCCAAGGCTCGGGGTAGAGCGGGAACGGCGCCTCTGAGTCACGGCAGGTGGGGAGATGGGGTCTTCGCGGCTCGCGAGTGGGGAAGATGCCAGCCCGTGGGCTATGGTGCAAAGCAGAGCGTGAGGAGGTACCCCGGAAGGGGAGAAGGGAAACATGGGGTCTCCAGGGCGCGAGGCTGGGCGCGGGAGAGCACTCGGGATCTCGAAGAGGGGAGGGTAGAGACCTAGGCGAGCGAGGAGGCGGGAAGCTGGGTCTCCGCTGTGTCTTGGGGGCCAGAGGGATAGAGGAGAACGCCCGGAGCTCAAGGTGGGAGCAGAAGCGTGGGAGCGAGGCGAGGGCGGAGCAGGGAGGGGCTTGCGGCCGCTTCTCTGATCCCCGAACTCCGCCCCCGCCCTGTCCACCTTGAGCAGGGACAGGCTCTTACCTGAGAGGCCGAGGAGCCCCAGGCCCAGGGCAGCCCAGAGACCGAGCAGCGCCCGGCGCAGCCCTGGCGAGGGCCCTGGCATCGCCGCCGCGGGGGAAGCGCAGGAGGCGAGGGGAGCGCGAGCGCAGAGCTGGGCTAGAGGACGGCGCGGCGGGTGGGGTGTGGAGGAGGCAGACTTGCGCTCGGGGATTGGTTTAACGTTGGTAACTTGGTTTCCAAGGAGGGGGCGGCGGCAGAGGCGGCGGGGGGGCGGGAGGGCGAGCGTGCGCCAGGCTCTCGGCCTTGGTGAAGGCGTGCTGGCAGGAGCGAGAGACCCCCGGGGTCTACACGGAGGCCGACCCCGTCTCCCGGAGCCTTCTGGGGGCGGACGCGCGCTCTCGCGTCATCCCCGGCGGCAACGCGGAGGTCGGGGATGCTGGGTTGCCCTTCTCAAACCCCCACCCCATCCCTAGCTGAGATGCTATGATAATGAGCCGGAGTCCGAGCTCCGCCCCCAGACTTAGCTCCTCCCACCAGCGCCGCTCGGGGCGGGGACTGATTTGTGGGCTGGGAGAGATTTGGGAAGCGCAGGATGGGGCCGGCATAGCGCTGGGGGCGGGTGTGAGGATGCCTCGCTCGCTCATCCTTCCCCTTTTGACCCAGGAGAGCTGAGGGTACAGCCACGCCCCTCGTCCCCCTCCGGCTCCGCCCCCGCACGCGACAGAGGGGGCGGAGACGAAGGTGCCAGCGAGTCGGAGACACGTGTGCGTGCGCGCAGCGTTCCCGGGCGTCTAAATTAGGGTCCGCTCGCCTCTGGGTCTGTATTTACCCAGCGTGCAGCGGGCACGTGTCTACGCGGCGTGTGTGAGCGCGAGCAGCCAGAGAGCGTCCCGAATCCCCTTTCTGTGCGGCGGGCGGGGTCCTGGACCGCGGGGGCACTGCCGCGCATCCAGTGCGGGCCCGGATTCTATGTCCACGCGAGACCAAGGGACCAACGGTGACACTTTTGACCCCGCAGCCAGGCCGCAAGCTTTGACACCCCCCTTCACGTGCCCACCAGGCCCGGTGACTATCAGGACGTTGCTAGGACGCGAGTCTGTGACATCCCACGTGGACCATCTGATTGCTCCTTCCCCGCAGTCACTACATGGGTCCATGGGGCCCCACCCATTTGTGTTCTTACTCCCAGCGCTGATGGTGACCCTTGGGGATCCGTGCTCTCCCACCCGTGTGCTCCACGAAAGTGCGGGGTCTAAAGCGGAGGGGGGGATGGGAAAGGAAACTTAACATCCAATCAGAGCCGCTGCTTGCTGGCGGCGGAGCCAATCAGGAAAAGCCATCCCGAGAAACAGCCCTCCCCCAGCCCGAAGCGCTCCAGGGCCCGGGCTTTTCCCACTGCTCCGCACCCATAGCGCCCGCAGGAGAGGTTACACTACACCGGCTGGGAATGCAGAGGGATCGGAGCTCCGGGGACCCCAGGGGGACCAGAGCGAGGACCCCTCAGGGCCCCTTAGGGAGACCGAGAATTTGGAGAAAGAGATTGAGGCCAGGCCAAGAAAGACCACTTCCTCGGGGAGACGCACTCATGCGGGACCTTTAGACCGCGGACCCAGGCTGGCTGAGGAAGGCTTTATTGATCCAGTAGGGGTCCCCAAATGCGCTCAGATCCCTTTTTCCTTAGCCGGCGTGGACCACCCCTCGCTACGACCGGGACTGCATCGCCAGGGACTTTCGCAGGTAGGCGACCCCCATGACGAGAAAGATCCCCACAAGGGCTGCGATGGACGTGGAGGCCACGGCTTTGGACGCGGGGCTCAGAGCTGGGGACAGGAGGTGAGAATTAGGAACGGAGCACACGGAGGGGTGACGACCCGCCTGGACCTCACGCTTGGCCCGCTCGCCCTCCTGGAGTCATAACCTGTCCCCGCACCTCCGAAAGTCCCCGGGATTACAAGGGTGCCTCACCGAGGACCGTTAGTGTGATGGGTGCCGAGCTGCTGCGGACCACCAGGCCGTCGAGATCGAGGCGCGCGTGGCAGGTCACGGGCTGCCAGAGGTCGTGGGGCCTGGCGCGAAACGCGTGGGTCAGCGTCACATTGGCCAGATCCAAGCCCTTGTAGCGCTCCAGGCTCTCGGAGTAGATGACCTGGCCGCCGCGCCTGAGCGTCACCACCAGGAAGCCCACGGGGAACACATGCGTCACGTGGCAGCGCAGAGTGTACTCACTGCCCACTAGGACCGGAGGCTCCAGGATCACGCTGCGCGGCTCTTCTAGAGCGAGAGTGGGCCGCTGAGCAAGGTCCGCGGGCGCCCCCTAGCGCGACTGGCAGCTGCCCCCTCTGCCCCCCTCCCGGCCCCCCAGCCCGGCTAAGCCCCCGGCCCTCACTGTAGGCGTTAATCCTGGCCGTGGCCCCCCGCGTTTCTCCCGCGCAGGTGACGAGGCAGAGCACGTCGGAGCTCCAGGCCCTCACGTCCAGCAGCTGGTAGGATACCCAGCCCGGTCCCCCGAGCGTCTGGCCGCGCCGCAGCCCCGTGCGGAGGCTGGACCCGTCCGGCAGGGGGCAGCTGCTACTGCAGTTGAGCCACACTGAGCTCCCGGGTGGCACGGCCACGAACGCGGGGCTTATGCGCACCCAGAAGGGCGCTGAGGTCCCCGAGGGCGCGGGAGAGCTGCCCCCGGGGCCTGGCGCCCGCGCCGCCCGGCGCCTCCGCGCGCTCCCGCCTCCCGGAGAGGCGGCGGTCAGCAAAACCAGCAGCGAGATGGGGAACAGAGGCCCCATGGCAAAGAGCCCGGACTGAGGGGCCCCGCGCCAGGGAGCAAGGCTGGCTCTGGAGATAAGGAGGCCCCAGCCCCGCCTCCTCGGCCCCGCCCGGAGAGAGCCAGAGGCCCCTTGAAGACCCAGCAGTCCTGCAAGATATCCAGCCCCCCCTCCACGCCGACTCCGCCAACCCCAGCTCAAGAACGGGACTCCTGACCCCATTATAAACCAACTGTCACTTTAATTTTCACTGGAATCTCGAAAGTTCCTAACAAGCCCCAGATTTGGATTCGAGCCTCAGGGATGGGCCTTGAACTGGCAGCGTTTATTTGGGGGCGGAAATGAGAGGACAGGTCTGTGGCTCCAGCTGGACGTGACAGCTCCCCTGAAGTCACCCAGGCTGGGGCGGATGAAAAGCTTTATTAGCACAGGCAGAAGCTTCCGGAGCCCATGCGCCAAGGCCTCTCCTCCACACGGCCTCTGGGGAGGGCCCTCGCGGCTGCAGGAATAGGGAGCTGCCAGACTCTTCTGTTCTCAGACGGCTCCAATGAGATGGAGACAGGTTGGACGAGGCAGAGGCACACGGGTTGGGCATAGTTTCATGGCACTCCATGGTCTAGCTGCCAAGGAGTGGGCATGCCCCCAAGTGTCCTTGTGAGCACTAGCAGAGAGGTCGATGGGTGGAGAAGCGGCCTACCAAGATCGGGTGCAGGGAGGGGGGAGTAAGGGCTCAGTGGGTCGTCCCTGGGCATGTCACCAGTTAACCACGTGGCCATTGATAGTCCAATTCCAGAGGAAAGCAGCTTGGCCAATGAAGTGGGGAATTCCAGCCCCGCTTGATCTTGTTACCTGGCACTTGTACTCTTGTGCAGTGCACAGCCAGTACAAATGTACCTGGTGACCCTGAATGAGATTAGTTGAGAACTTCCTGAGGGCAGGAACCTATGTTCCTCCTGTTTACCATTCTAGCCCACATCAAAGGCAATCAGTAAACAGCTGATAAAAGAGCAAATGAATAAATATGTCATCGTCAAGGGTTGGGGACAGTCAGTGGACAGCAGCACTGCAGCTGGCATCTGTCGGAGGATGTGTGGGGATCTGTGTTTCGAGGCTGCATGGGTCTGTGCAGGGCCACTTCTTTGTTAGGACTGTGGTCTCAGCACACGCAGTGGTGGTGCCTCAGCACACGCAGTGGTGGTCAGTTTCAGTGGTTCCCAGCTGGGTGTCCCCATGTCAGAGGGACCCATCTCCATCGCTGACCCTCCGGCCAGGTCAGACACTGACATCCCTCACTGTCATGCCTCCTTGGCTCAGTCCTGTGGTTGCATGTCAGGTGTGAGGCCTTGGGGTCCTAGGTGAGGCACCACGACCGCAAAGGCTGCCTGTATCCTGACTGAGGCATCCTGGGAGGGTGCATGTAGCTGAATGGCCTATGTCCGCCACTCTTCAGTGTGGCACCACCGCCCAGGCGTGCAGGGACAGCTCAGGGCGGCGAGGCCAGGGCGTTCAGCTTCAGAGCGGCTGCCTCCTGGGCCTTCTTCTGTAGCTCGTATATCTGGATCTTCCGCCGGCGGTTATAGATGTAGGCAGCTGTGCCCACCGTGCCCAAGATGATGACAGCCGCTACCAGAATGATGATGACCACGTTATTCTGGTGGTCTGTGGGGAGGACACAGGGGTGAGGAGGGTCGAGCCGGGCTCACTGCCCCTGCCCTGCCCGACCTTGAACCCAGGCACACTTACATATCACATTCACCACCACTTCTCGGGTGACCTTCCCGTGAGAGCTCTCAGCCCGACACAGGTAGGTGCCGGCAATCTCCCGCTTGACAAGCATCTGGGTCCCGATGGGCAGCAAAGCCCCGTCCTTCCGGCTGCAGGTCAGCTTGGGGGTCGGGTTCCCCCAGGCCTGGCAGTTCGCCGTCTGCTTCGAGCCTTCCGGCCATGTCCAGTTTCCTGAGCAGTCCCTCTTGTCTAGCCGGGGGCCATCTGGAGAAACACAGCAAGGTGAGGGAAGGGATCGGGGACCAGAACACCCCTCCCCATCTACGACTGGAGGACTTGGGTAGGAACCCAGGAAGGGGGAGTCACATGAGGGCTTTGGGGTTGGGCCTTGGAGGCTAGGGGTCATTGTCCAGGGGTCCCACGCACAGAGGACTCGGAGCTCCCGGGTCTGGTTCTTGTGTACCATCTGCCCAGCCACCTTCAGAGTAGCCAAGCAGGAGAAGATGCGCTTGTTGTCCTCCGCGCTGGCGTTCAGATGGATTTGGTCCCTCTCAGAGGGGCGGCTGGCTGAGGCCCCGTGCAGCGTCACCACGGCTGGAGAATGGGCCTCACACTCCACGCTCACCAGCGTCCCCTCAGAGACCTCGGGCTGGCTGAGGGTCAGGTTGGGAGCCGGGAAGCCTGGGGGCGGGGCATACCGTGAGCCCTGCCCCTGGCATTGGCCCCGCCCTGCCTCAGCCACGCCCCCCAGAAGCCCCACCCCTGTCTCTACTTACTGTAAATGGTCACTTTCTCCCGCGTCCGCAGGTCCCTGCCTCCCAGCGCCACCACACACACCAGCTGCTGGGTGCCCTCCTCCCCCGCGAGCCCCTGCATCGGAGCCCTGGCCACGAGGGAGTCCCCGTTGTAGGTGATTGTGGCGTTCAGCCTGTGGTCCTCCAGCGCCAGGTGGACCTGAGCCTCCGACGCCGGGAACAGCCCGCCCAGGACGCATTCCACGAGCACCTGTGTCCCCGCTTCCACGACCCGGGGGGCAGAGAGGCTCAGGTTTGTGTCTGGCAGGACTGGCGAGAGAGGGTGAGTGTGAACACAGAGGGGATGCACATCCACAAGCCCTTTCCTGGGACATTTTCATTCCCCACCTGGAGCCTCCTCTTCCTGGGAGACTCTGAGGCCTGCGTCACCCCTGTCCCAGAGCACACGCGCCCCTTATCCAAAGTCACAGCCTTAGAAGACCCGGCAGCCTGGGCACCCCTTCTCAGAACACGCCACCCCAGTGGCCAAGAACATGCTCTTCCCAGATGCCTTGGCAATTCAGGTCACCACCTTCTCAGTCCCCCCACGGCCAGGGGCCCTCCTTCCCAGGGACCCTGCACCCCCAGAGGGAGCACCCCCTGAGCCATCCTCTCTGGGGCTCCCCCATGCCTCACCGTAGGTTCGCAGCTGCCTGGGGGCCGAGCTGTTCTGGAACAGTCCCAGCCCTCGGGACCGTAGGTCCAGCTCCGCGCGGCACGAGAAGTTGGCGCCGTGGTCCTCTCTGCGGGCCTCCACCGTGTGGTTGACCAGGGCTGGCTCTCCGACCGCCGGCTGCCGGCTCAGCTCCTCCTCCCCGCGGAGCAGCACGACGGTGAGGTTGTCGCGGGGCGCCCCGCCTGCCACCTGGCAGCGCAGGGTGAGGTTCTGGCCCACGGGCTGCCAGGAGGGCAGGGGTTCCAGCTCCACGAGATCGGGGAACCCTGGGGGCCAGGAGGAGTGTCCTGTGAGCTGAAAGGGCCAACCGCCAGCAGGGGGCGCTGGGGCGGGCGCCGGTCCCACCTGTCCCCAAACACACCCAAAACCACCTAAGCCAGGCAGGAATGTGAGGAACTCCAGGGAAAACCCGTAAGAAGGCCCCAAGTGGTTGCGAAGGGCACAGAACAATTTTTTCACTGCAGCATCTAAGAATGAAAAGTGGAAAGGGACCACAGAGTCCCCCGCCACCAGGTTTCGGCTCAAATACACACAGGAAATGTCAGCTGCCCGGCTGCTGGAGATGGTTTTAAAAAGACCCCACCTCCCTCTTCTCGCCTCTTGGCCTTATTTTTCTCCACCCCTCACCCTGTGACACACCAGGTCACCTTCTCCTCTGTTCCCCCTGTCAGCGCCCGAGGGCACCCATCTCTGCTTTACCCTGTTCTCTTGTTGGCACACTGTGGGTGCTCTCTATTTGTAGAAAAAGTCAAGTTGGGCCACCCACACTGATTCGAGCCTTTCAGGCACCACTTTTACCAGAAAAAAGTTCCCGAATGGGCTGTGTGATTCCTCTGAAATGTTACATTTAAAAGCAACTCACAGACCTCAAAACGAAACTGACTAACCCCTGAACATGCGACAGGCAGGCTTGGGTCTTTCTGTGCAGGGGACAGAATTCTAAGCCTGGATCTAAGCCAGAGAAAAAGGACAGCTGACCCCAGTGAGCTGGGGCTTAACCCTGGCTCCTCAGGGAGGGGAAGCCCCAAAATGTCACTCAGAAACACTGTTCAAGTGTCAGGGACCTCGGTTTGAGTCCTAGCTTCACGGCTGAGTGACTTTACCTCTGGAACAGCCCCCGCCCTTGGAGCTGGAGAAACGGAACCTCAGTTTCCTAAGCTGTGAAATGGGGCTATTGGAGGTGGAAGGATTCGTAGGCCATTTAAGAGGTTTAGAGAGCACTGGGGAAAGGGTATGAGGTTTCTTTTTAGGTGAGGAAAATGTTCTAACATTAGACGTGTGGCGGTGGTTGGACAACTCTCGAAATACAGCACGATGCTTCGCCCACTTACAGCTGTTTAAAAAAAAGGCCACGGAAACCCTCAGCCCTCACCTCTAACCACCAGCTGCAACCCCAACCTGCAAAGTCAGAGGCCCCTCCAACCTCAGCCCCCAGACCCCCATCTCAGAGCCCAGATCCTCGCCCGGAGGCCAGACTGGGGGAGGTGTTCTGTTTATCCTCTCCGGCTCCTTGACCTCGCCACCTGCAGGGCCTTGCTGAGTCCCCGTTACTCCACTCTGCAAATATTTGTCTGCCCCTCACCTTTCTGCTGGCCACAACCACTGGCCACAACACGTGTGGCCTGGACAAGGCCACGGCCAACTGCTCTCTGGCTTCCTGTAAGCCCAGCCTGCTGTTATCAAGATCCCTGACCTGCTCACACACCCTCCATGGCTCCCTATCACCCCGCAGAGAAGGCCTCGCTCCTCAGTCTAGCATTCAAGGTCCTGCTGCATGCCTCCACGCTCCAAATCTTTGCCCAGGCTGTTCTCTCTGCCAAGATGCCTGTCTTCCAACTCCTACACACCCTTCGAGGCCCAATTAGTTACCCCCTGCAGAAATGACAACTCTGACCTTTCCAGAAAAAGCTCAGCCACCTGGGGATGGCCTCTCACTTCACACTGGGCGGTGGGGGGGTGGGGGGGAACCAAGCTAAAGTCTGTCCTAGGGGAGTCCCCTGGCGACTGTGTGCCAGCCATCTGCTCCATTTCAGAGGCAGAAACTCAGCAAAATCCAGCCCCCAAAGTCACAGAGGGAGCAATGTGGCAGTGCCGAGACTCAAACCTGGAGACCTGGGCGGCAGGTCCTTTGAGGTTTTCCCGGGGCTTTTGGAGGCCACCGGGAGTGTTTGGGGACTTCCCTCACCTGGCCAGCATCTGCTCCAACATCCCCCAAGTCAGAAAGAAACCTGATATTTGCTCCAAAGCGTCCTCTGCCCAGGTCCCGTGCAGGAGGAATGTCCTTCAGGCCGTACCACGTCATTCCACCCAGCCGGGGGGGTCTCATGGGAAAGTCAACTGAGAGCCATGTCACCCACAGTCACTCAATTAGTACCAGTCACGCTGAGACTAGAATCCAAGGCTGTCTCCGCCAAAGGCCAGTCGGCCAGTTCTCTTTCTTTCCCGCTTCCTTGTTTGATTCCGCTTTGGTTTGTCTTAATTTGCATTTCACTTATTTATTTCTTGCCTATGGTAATGGCAACTCATTCTCACGGCTCACAGCTCCCAAAATTTAAAAAAAAAAAAGAGGCACAGGGAAAAAAAACTCACTCCGCCCTCTCCCGGAGCCCCCAGCTTCTCTCCTCACCGCCAACAATACTCTTATTACTTCTTGCATTTGCTGTCAAGGCTCTTTTGCATGAACACATCCCCCCTCCCGGCTCTCCCAGCGCCCCCCTAACGCCGAGGATGGCCATTCATTCTGGGCATCCTTTCCCTCTTTTGAACCTGACAGTGCACCCTGGGGCTCCTTCTCTCTCGAGACACAAGGAGCTGCCACATTCTTTTACACAGCTGCATACTATTCCATCACACAGTGGCCCCACAGCGTGGCTCCCCGGCCCCCCACATTCAAGAGGCTTGCAAACTTCTGTCCTTGTGGATGGGGACACACGTAAGACCAACTCCCCAGAGCAGAATTGCTGCGTCAAGAGACACGTGTGTGTGTCACTTCGAGGACTGATGCCCAATTCTCCCCCTGGGGTGGTGCTTCTTGACGCTCCCACCCTGTCAGCAATGTCCCAGGCCTGCCCGCTTTCCTGCAGTCCCGCCAGCACAGCTGTGACCAATTCTTCAGCTTGTTGCCAAGATGTGACAAATGCCATCTCAGGGCTAGCTTTTAATTTGTGCCTTTTTTCTAAGGGTTCAATCTAGGACCTTGTCCGGGTTGAAAGGGTGAGGCCCAGAGAGCCAGCCTTCTTGAATGTACTGGATCCCTGTGGAAACCCTACAGGCACCCAAGGACGTTCAAGGAGGGGCTGCAAATGGCAGAGAGACTTTCTGAAGGTGTCCCCACCTGCCCTGAAGGGGAAGCGAGACCCGCCCTGCCCCCCCACCCCAGCCTGCCGAGGCCAGTCCCTGAGCTCGGCCACTCACCGTACACGGTGATGGACACTGAAGACTCCGTCTGGTTGGGACAGTTTGCGTAGCATATTGGAGAGATGTCCTCTCGCACATCACTCAGTTCGAAGGTCTTCCAGTTGACCCCCTGGGCCACTTCCTTCTTACTCAGTTCGATCTCCAGGCCCAGCTCAGCACAGGAGGCGCTACAGTTCACTGTCACCGAGCCTCCTCGCGGTATGATGGCTTCTGGGGGCGTCACTGATATTTGGGCTCCTGCAAACCCTGGATCTAAAATGCTTTGCTGGGTGCTGGGGTCCCAGCCTCGAACAAGAGGGAACTCTCCGCCTGCAGTGTGGGAGACAGAAAAAAAAATCATGAGCCAACGAGTTAATGGATAACTGATGTTAGGAAGAGCTTTGATAAAAACCAAACAGGGTGGCGAAACAGACAGTGCCTTTGTGACCGGACACTGTGCGGGCAGAATCGGAATGATAAGGCTGGGCTGGCCACCCTGAGAAAAAGAAACGACTTCCAGGCAGAAGGAGCAACTGCAAAGGCCCTGCGGCAGGCGCGAGGGGGAAGAGTTGGGGGACATGAGATCAGGAAGCTCACGCGGGCAGGGGAAGCCATGCCAGGGTGTGTTCTGCATTCTGAGAGCAATGGGGAGCCACGGAGCATTTTAGCGGAGGGACATGAAGTCAGGTGGGAGAGGCCAGCCCTCCACGGATGGAGGGGTTCCAATCAGGCTGGCTCCTCACTCCCTTGGCCAAGTGGTCGCCCCTCTCTGGGCCTCAGTTTCCCCATCTGTAAGATTGGTGAATATAATCACGCCACCCCCTGCTAATGCAAGCAGCCCCCAGCTCAGGGCAGGGAGTGAGGGGCTGCAGGTAGGAAGGTGGAAACCGGTGGCTGCCTCAGAGCCTGGCGCCCCCAAAGCTGACAAAATGTGTCTGAGCCCACCCGTCTGCCCCTTCCAAGGATTCCTGCCTTGGGCTGAGGGTCTGTTCTCTCTCGGGTGGGAGCGTGTGAACGTAGCAGCTCCGGGAATTCTCCAGGGCTGATCCTGGGATCGGTCCCATTTCACAGAGGGAGATGACGAAGCGTGCAGAGGCGAGGTCACCCCGCTAGAAAGTCGTGGAACCCAGATTGGAGGCCGGATAAGAGGGGTTTGTGGAGCTGGTGACCGCGGTGTCCATCTTCCACTCTCGGGCTTCCCAACACTGCCCACCATGGGCCACCCTCTGGCCCCCTTCTCCCCTCCCTCCAGGGGGGAGCTGGTGGGGGGCTGCGGGCCGATCCCGCATCTCAGCGTCTGCTCCCTGGGCAAGTCAGCCCCGGAATTCCCCCAAGCAGAAGCAGCCTTGGACTTCCCCTGGGGTAGGGATGAGGAACAGAATGTACATGTGCTGGGGGAGGGGTCCCCAGCCTACTGGGCTGAGCGCGGGGCCACGTCTCTGGACCACCTGGGACCAGGCGCCCAGCTGGGCCAGCACACGAATACTGCCAGGTGGCCCCTGTTTGGTTCCCCATCTTACAGCTGAGAAATCCAGGCTCCTCCAAGAGGCGCAGGAGGCCACACATGGAGGTGACGCAGGGCTGGATTCGAATCCACGGCTGTTGACTGTCAATCGCTGCCACTAGCCCCAACTTCCCATAAACATCTCCCTAAGTACGCATGGCTTTATCCCCAGACGGCCGCGCCCAGGGCGCACTCCGAGCTGCTGATCCCGACTCACCTGGGAGCAGAGCCCCGAGCAGGGCGAGGAGCGCGGGCAGGACGCAGCGGGCGGCACCGGGGGCCATAGCGGGCGCGGGGCGCACAGGGCAGCGCAGCTGTGTGGCCGCTCCTGGGCCGCCCAGGAACGCGCGCCCTTTTATAGTCGCGGCCACGGGGGGCCGAGGGGCGGCGCTTCCTTCCCGGAAACCTCGCGCTTTCCCCTCCAGAAGGAGGGCTCCGGCATTTCCGGATTGAGAGGGTGCCCGACCCGAGTAGGCCGGTCCCCCCTCGCTGGCCGCTCGAGCCCGGAATTTCCGAGTTGAAGTAATGAGAGCCGAGGCGGTGGCGCGCCGCGGGGTCCCTTCCCCGGGCCGGGCTGCCCTTGATTCTGCGATCGCCTTGCGCTGAGCGCTTGATTGACTGCCACCAGCTTCCCGGGACCGCGGGGGCTGCTACTGTGTCCATTCGGCAGAGGGGTAAACTGAGGCTCCCCGCGGCCAGGCCATTCGAAGTCAAGTGTGACTCCCCAGTGCACGCAGGCCTCTCTAACCGAGGGGACGACCCTGGCTTGGTGGGGGATCTAGGGCGCCCTCCATCAAGGGTGCCCCTCCCCCTGAGGGCACGCCCCCGCCGGGCTGACACCGAGATTTCCCGAGAAGCGGCCCCAGCGAGCCCAGGCAGCTCCAGGACGCGCGGCGTCACCACATCCGAGGATCTGCGTCCCCCTCACCGACGGGTGCTCCCACCCCCGCTGCCTCGCTTCCCCTTTCGCCCCGGCCGAGAGGGTGTCTTGCCAGAAAAGGACAGCTTCCAGAAAAGGGAAGGAAGCCACGTGGTCCTGACACCTCCAGCGCCTCCGCGGCCGCCCCCACGCTCCACGGGGAAACTGAGGCAGCCGACCTCGACAGGGGAGAAAAGAGGGGGCGCTTGAACCCTTGCCTCCTGCAGGGAACCTGAGGCAGCTCCTAGGGCCTGAAGTGGGGCGGGGAGAGGGGGCGCTCAAATTCCTGTTGGAAATTCGAACCCAAGGCGCGAGCACCAAATAGGCGCAGTGTTTGCTCCGGGCAGTTCCAGCAGGGCGTGGGGCGTGGGGGCGGGATGCGCTGGGATCCGTGCGTGGCGTCCGCAGGCCGCTCCCTGCCCCGTCCCCCCCCCCCCCCCCCCCCCCCCCCCCCCCCCCCC